TGCCTGCCATTCCTTCTCTCTGCCTTGCCATTACTCCTCTCTGCCTGCCATTCCTTCTCTCTGCCTTGCCATTACTCCTCTCTGCCTGCCATTCCTTCTCTCTGCCTTGCCATTACTCCTCTCTGCCTGCCATTCCTTCTCTCTGCCTTGCCATTACTCCTCTCTGCCTGCCATTCCTTCTCTCTGCCTTGCCATTACTCCTCTCTGCCTGCCATTCCTTCTCTCTGCCTTGCCATTACTCCTCTCTGCCTGCCATTCCTTCTCTCTGCCTTGCCATTACTCCTCTCTGCCTGCCATTCCTTCTCTCTGCCTTGCCATTACTCCTCTCTGCCTGCCATTCCTTCTCTCTGCCTTGCCATTACTCCTCTCTGCCTGCCATTCCTTCTCTCTGCCTTGCCATTACTCCTCTCTGCCTGCCATTCCTTCTCTCTGCCTTGCCATTACTCCTCTCTGCCTGCCATTCCTTCTCTCTGCCTTGCCATTACTCCTCTCTGCCTGCCATTCCTTCTCTCTGCCTTGCCATTACTCCTCTCTGCCTGCCATTCCTTCTCTCTGCCTTGCCATTACTCCTCTCTGCCTGCCATTCCTTCTCTCTGCCTTGCCATTACTCCTCTCTGCCTGCCATTCCTTCTCTCTGCCTTGCCATTACTCCTCTCTGCCTGCCATTCCTTCTCTCTGCCTTGCCATTACTCCTCTCTGCCTGCCATTCCTTCTCTCTGCCTTGCCATTACTCCTCTCTGCCTGCCATTCCTTCTCTCTGCCTTGCCATTACTCCTCTCTGCCTGCCATTCCTTCTCTCTGCCTTGCCATTACTCCTCTCTGCCTGCCATTCCTTCTCTCTGCCTTGCCATTACTCCTCTCTGCCTGCCATTCCTTCTCTCTGCCTTGCCATTACTCCTCTCTGCCTGCCATTCCTTCTCTCTGCCTTGCCATTACTCCTCTCTGCCTGCCATTCCTTCTCTCTGCCTTGCCATTACTCCTCTCTGCCTGCCATTCCTTCTCTCTGCCTTGCCATTACTCCTCTCTGCCTGCCATTCCTTCTCTCTGCCTTGCCATTACTCCTCTCTGCCTGCCATTCCTTCTCTCTGCCTTGCCATTACTCCTCTCTGCCTGCCATTCCTTCTCTCTGCCTTGCCATTACTCCTCTCTGCCTGCCATTCCTTCTCTCTGCCTTGCCATTACTCCTCTCTGCCTGCCATTCCTTCTCTCTGCCTTGCCATTACTCCTCTCTGCCTGCCATTCCTTCTCTCTGCCTTGCCATTACTCCTCTCTGCCTGCCATTCCTTCTCTCTGCCTTGCCATTACTCCTCTCTGCCTGCCATTCCTTCTCTCTGCCTTGCCATTACTCCTCTCTGCCTGCCATTCCTTCTCTCTGCCTTGCCATTACTCCTCTCTGCCTGCCATTCCTTCTCTCTGCCTTGCCATTACTCCTCTCTGCCTGCCATTCCTTCTCTCTGCCTTGCCATTACTCCTCTCTGCCTGCCATTCCTTCTCTCTGCCTTGCCATTACTCCTCTCTGCCTGCCATTCCTTCTCTCTGCCTTGCCATTACTCCTCTCTGCCTGCCATTCCTTCTCTCTGCCTTGCCATTACTCCTCTCTGCCTGCCATTCCTTCTCTCTGCCTTGCCATTACTCCTCTCTGCCTGCCATTCCTTCTCTCTGCCTTGCCATTACTCCTCTCTGCCTGCCATTCCTTCTCTCTGCCTTGCCATTACTCCTCTCTGCCTGCCATTCCTTCTCTCTGCCTTGCCATTACTCCTCTCTGCCTGCCATTCCTTCTCTCTGCCTTGCCATTACTCCTCTCTGCCTGCCATTCCTTCTCTCTGCCTTGCCATTACTCCTCTCTGCCTGCCATTCCTTCTCTCTGCCTTGCCATTACTCCTCTCTGCCTGCCATTCCTTCTCTCTGCCTTGCCATTACTCCTCTCTGCCTGCCATTCCTTCTCTCTGCCTTGCCATTACTCCTCTCTGCCTGCCATTCCTTCTCTCTGCCTTGCCATTACTCCTCTCTGCCTGCCATTCCTTCTCTCTGCCTTGCCATTACTCCTCTCTGCCTGCCATTCCTTCTCTCTGCCTTGCCATTACTCCTCTCTGCCTGCCATTCCTTCTCTCTGCCTTGCCATTACTCCTCTCTGCCTGCCATTCCTTCTCTCTGCCTTGCCATTACTCCTCTCTGCCTGCCATTCCTTCTCTCTGCCTTGCCATTACTCCTCTCTGCCTGCCATTCCTTCTCTCTGCCTTGCCATTACTCCTCTCTGCCTGCCATTCCTTCTCTCTGCCTTGCCATTACTCCTCTCTGCCTGCCATTCCTTCTCTCTGCCTTGCCATTACTCCTCTCTGCCTGCCATTCCTTCTCTCTGCCTTGCCATTACTCCTCTCTGCCTGCCATTCCTTCTCTCTGCCTTGCCATTACTCCTCTCTGCCTGCCATTCCTTCTCTCTGCCTTGCCATTACTCCTCTCTGCCTGCCATTCCTTCTCTCTGCCTTGCCATTACTCCTCTCTGCCTGCCATTCCTTCTCTCTGCCTTGCCATTACTCCTCTCTGCCTGCCATTCCTTCTCTCTGCCTTGCCATTACTCCTCTCTGCCTGCCATTCCTTCTCTCTGCCTTGCCATTACTCCTCTCTGCCTGCCATTCCTTCTCTCTGCCTTGCCATTACTCCTCTCTGCCTGCCATTCCTTCTCTCTGCCTTGCCATTACTCCTCTCTGCCTGCCATTCCTTCTCTCTGCCTTGCCATTACTCCTCTCTGCCTGCCATTCCTTCTCTCTGCCTTGCCATTACTCCTCTCTGCCTGCCATTCCTTCTCTCTGCCTTGCCATTACTCCTCTCTGCCTGCCATTCCTTCTCTCTGCCTTGCCATTACTCCTCTCTGCCTGCCATTCCTTCTCTCTGCCTTGCCATTACTCCTCTCTGCCTGCCATTCCTTCTCTCTGCCTTGCCATTACTCCTCTCTGCCTGCCATTCCTTCTCTCTGCCTTGCCATTACTCCTCTCTGCCTGCCATTCCTTCTCTCTGCCTTGCCATTACTCCTCTCTGCCTGCCATTCCTTCTCTCTGCCTTGCCATTACTCCTCTCTGCCTGCCATTCCTTCTCTCTGCCTTGCCATTACTCCTCTCTGCCTGCCATTCCTTCTCTCTGCCTTGCCATTACTCCTCTCTGCCTGCCATTCCTTCTCTCTGCCTTGCCATTACTCCTCTCTGCCTGCCATTCCTTCTCTCTGCCTTGCCATTACTCCTCTCTGCCTGCCATTCCTTCTCTCTGCCTTGCCATTACTCCTCTCTGCCTGCCATTCCTTCTCTCTGCCTTGCCATTACTCCTCTCTGCCTGCCATTCCTTCTCTCTGCCTTGCCATTACTCCTCTCTGCCTGCCATTCCTTCTCTCTGCCTTGCCATTACTCCTCTCTGCCTGCCATTCCTTCTCTCTGCCTTGCCATTACTCCTCTCTGCCTGCCATTCCTTCTCTCTGCCTTGCCATTACTCCTCTCTGCCTGCCATTCCTTCTCTCTGCCTTGCCATTACTCCCTTCTCTGCCTGCCATTCCTTCTCTCTGCCTTGCCATTACTCCTCTCTGCCTGCCATTCCTTCTCTCTGCCTTGCCATTACTCCTCTCTGCCTGCCATTCCTTCTCTCTGCCTTGCCATTACTCCTCTCTGCCTGCCATTCCTTCTCTCTGCCTTGCCATTACTCCTCTCTGCTGCCATTCCTTCTCTATGCCTTGCCATTACTCCTCCTCTGCCTGCCATTCCTTCTCTCTGCCTTGCCCATTACTCCTCTCTGCCTGCCATTCCTTCTCTCTGCCTTGCCATTACTCCTCTCTGCCTGCCATTCCTTCTCTCTGCCTTGCCATACCTCTCTGCCTGCCATTCCTTCTCTCTGCTTGACAATTACTCCTCTCTGCCTGGCCATTCCTTCTCTCTGCCTTTGCATATTACTCCTCTCTGCCTGCCATTCCTTCTCTCTGCCTTGCCATTACTCCTCTCTGCCTGCCATTCCTTCTCTCTGCTTGCCATTACTCTCTCTGCCTGCCAATTCCTTCTCTCTGCCTTGCCATTACTCTCTCTGCCTGCCCTTCCTTCTCTATGCCTTGCATTACTCCTCTCTGCCTGCCATTCCTTCTCTCTGCCTTGCCAATTACTCCTCTTCTGCCTGCCATTCCTTCTCTCTGCCTTGCCATTACTCCTCTCTGCCTGCCATTCCTTCTCTCTGCCTTGCCATTACTCCTCTCTGCCTGCCATTCCTTCTCTCTGCCTTGCCATTACTCCTCTCTGCCTGCCATTCCTTCTCTCTGCCTTGCCATTACTCCTCTCTGCCTGCCATTCCTTCTCTCTGGCCTTGCCATTACTCCTCTCTGCCTGCCATTCCTTCTCTCTGCCTTGCCATTACTCCTCTCTCTGCCTGCCAATTCCTTCTCTCTGCCTTGCCATTACTCCTCTCTGCCTGCCATTCCTTCTCTCTGCCTTGCCATTACTCCTCTCTGCCTGCCATTCCTTCTCTCTGCCTTGCCATTACTCCTCTCTGCCTGCCATTCCTTCTCTCTGCCTTGCCATTACTCCTCTCTGCCTGCCATTTCCTTCTCTCTGCTTGCCATTACTCCTCTCTGCCTGCCATTCCTTCTCTCTGCCTTGCCATTACTCCTCTCTGCCTGCCATTCCTTCTCTCTGCCTTGCCATTACTCCTCTCTGCCTGCCATTCCTTCTCTCTGCCTTGCCATTAACTCCTCTCTGCCTGCCAATTCCTTCTCTCTGCCTTGCCATTACTCCTCTCTGCCTGCCATTTCTCTTCTCTCTGGCCTTGCCATTACTCCTCTCTGCCTGCCATTCCTTCTCTCTGCTCTCTGCCTTGCATTACTCCTCTCTGCCTGCCATTCCTTCTCTCTGCCTTGCCATTACTCCCTCTCTGCCTGCCATTCCTTCTCTCTGCCTTGCCATTACTCCTCTCTGCCTGCCATTCCTTCTCTCTGCCTTGCCATTACTCCTCTCTAGCCTCGCATTCCTTTCTCTATGCCTTGCCATTACTCCTCTCTGCCTGCCATTCCTTCTCTCTGCCTTGCCATTACTCCTCTCTGCCTGCCATTCCTTCTCTCTGCCTTGCCATTACTCCTCTCTGCCTGCCATTCCTTCTCTCTGCCTTGCCATTACTTCCTCTCTGCCTGCCATTCCTTCTCTCTGCCGTGCCATTACTCCTCTCTGCCTGCCATTCCTTCTCTCTGCCTTGCCATTACTCCTCTCTGCCTGCCATTCCTTCTCTCTGCCTTGCCATTACTCCTCTCTGCCTGCCATTCCTTCTCCTCTGCCTTGCCATTACTCTCTCTGCCTGCCATTCCTTCTCTCTGCCTTGCCATTACTCCTCTCCTGCCTGCCATTCCTTCTCTCTGCCTTGCCATTAACTCCTCCTCTGCCTGCCATTCCTTCTCTCTGCCTTGCCATTACTTCCTCTCTGCTGACATTCCCTTCTCTCTCGCCTTGCCATACTCCTCTCTGCTGCCATTCCTTCTCTCTGCCTTGCCATTACTCCTCTCTGCCTGCCATTCCTTCTCTCTGCCTTGCCATTACTCCTCTCTGCCTGCCCATTCCTTCTCTCTGCTTGCAATTACTCCTCTCTGCCTGCCATTCCTTCTCTATGCCTTGCCATTACTCCTCTCTGCCTGCCATTCCCTTCCTCTGCCTTGCCATTACTCCTCTCATGCCTGCCAATTCCTTCTCTCTGCTTGCATTACTCCTCTCTGCCTGCCATTCCTTCTCTCTGCCTTGCCATCTACTCTCTCTGCCTGCATTCCTTCTCTCTGCTTGCCATTACTCCTCTCTGCTGCCATTCCCTTCTCTCTGCCTTGCCATTACTCTCTCTGCCTGCCATTCCTTCTCTTGCGTGCCATTCTCCTATTACTCCTCTCTCTCTGCCTGCCACTTGCCTGCTTCTCTGCCTTGCCATTACTCCTCTCTGCCTGCCATTCCTTCTCTCTGCCTTGCCATTACTCCCTCTCTGCTTCCTCTCTGCCTTGCCATCCTCCTCTCTGCCTGCCATTTCCTCTCTATGCCTTGCCATTACTCCTCTCTGCCTGCCAATTCCTTCTCTCTGCCTTGCCATTACTCTCTCTGCCTGCCATTCCTTCTCTATGCCTTGCCATTACTCCTCTCTGCCTGCCATTCCTTCTCTCTGCCTTGCCATTACTCCTCTCTGCCTGCCATTCCTTCTCTCTGCCTTGCCATTACTCCTCTCTGCCTGCCATTCCTTCTCTCTGCCTTGCCATTACTCCTCTCTGCCTGCCATTCCTTCTCTCTGCCTTGCCATTACTCCTCTCCTGCCTGCCATTCCTTCTCTATGCCTTGCCATTACTCCTCTCTGCCTGCCATTCCTTCTCTCTGCCTTGCCATTACTCCTCTCTGCCTGCCATTCCTTCTCTCTGCCTTGCCATTACTCCTCTCTGCCTGCCATTCCTTCTCTCTGCCTTGCCATTACTCCTCTCTGCCTGCCATTCCTTCTCTCTATGCCTTGCCCATTACTCCTCTCTGCCTGCCATTCCTTCTCTCTGCATTGCCATTACTCCTCTCTGCCTGCCATTCCTTCTCTCTGCCTTGCCATTACTCCTCTCTGCCTGCCATTCCTTCTCTCTGCCTTGCCATTACTCCTCTCTGCCTGCCATTCCTTCTCTCTTGGCCTTGCCATTACTCCTCTCTGCCTGCCATTCCTTCTCTCTGCCTTGCCATTACTCCTCTCTGCCTGCATTCCTCTCTCTCTGCCTTGCCATTACTCCTCTCTGCCCTGCCATTCCTTCTCTCTGCCTTGCCATTACTCCTCTCTGCCTGCCATTCCTTCTCTCTGCCTTGCCATTACTCCTCTCTGCCTGCCATTCCTCTCTCTGCCTTGCCATTACTCCTCTCTGCCTGCCATTCCTTCTCTCTGCCTTGCCATTACTCCTCTCTGCCTGCCATTCCTTCTCTCTGCCTTGCCATTACTCCTCTCTGCCTGCCATTCCTTCTCTCTGCCTTGCCATTACTCCTCTCTGCCTGCCATTCCTTCTCTCTGCCCTTGCCATTACTCCTCTCTGCCTGCATTCCTTCTCTCTGCCCTTGCCATTACTCCTCTCTGCCTGCCATTCCTTCTCTCTGCCTTGCCATTACTCCCTCTCTGCCTGCCATTCCTTCTCTCTGCCTTGCCATTACTCCTCTCTGCCTGCCATTCCTTCTCTCTGCCTTGCCATTACTCCTCTCTGCCTGCCATCCTTCTCTCTGCCTTGCCATTACTCCTCTCTGCCTGCCATTCCTCTCTCTGCCTTTTTCTGCTCTGCCATTTTGCCAGTTACTCCTCTCTGCCTGCCATTCCTTCTCTCTGCCTTGCCATTACTCCTCTCTGCCTGCCATTCTTCTCTCTGCCTTGCCATTACTCTCTCTGTCCTGCCATTCCTTCTCTCTGCCTTGCCATTACTACCTCTCTGCCTGCCATTCGCTTCTCTTATGCCTTTGCCATTACTCCTCTCTGCCTGCCATTCCTTCTCTCTGCATTGCCATTCTCCTCTCTGCCTGCCATTCCTTCTCTCTGCCTTGCCATTACTCCTCTCTGGCCTGCCATTCCTTCTCTCTTGTCCTTGCCATTACTCCTCTCTGCCTGCCATTCCTTCTCTCTGCCTTGCCATTACTCCTCTCTGCCTGCCATTCTTCTCTCTGCCTTGCATTACTCCTCTCTGCCTGCCCTTCCTTCTCTCTGCCATTACTCTCTCTGCCTGCCATTCCTTCTCTCTGCCTTGCCAATTACTCCTCTCTGCCTGCCATTCCTTCTCTCTGCCTTGCCATTACTCCTCTCTGCCTGCCATTCCTTCTCTCCTGCCTTGCCATTACTCCTCTCTGCCTGCCATTCCTTCTCTCTGCCTTGCCATTACTCCTCTCTGCCTTCCTGCCATTCCTTCTCTCTGCTTGCCATTACTCCTCTCTGCCTGCCATTCCTTCTCTCTGCCTTGCCATTACTCCTCTCTGCCTGCCATTCCTTCTCTCTGCCTTGCCATTACTCCTCTCTGCCTGCCATTCCTTCTCTCTGCCTTGCCATTACTCCTCTCTGCCTGCCATTCCTTCTCTCTGCCTTGCCATTACTCCTCTCTGCCCTGCCATTCCTTCTCTCTGCCTTGCCATTACTCCTCTCTGCCTGCCATTCCTTCTCTCTGCCTTGCCATTACTCCTCTCTGCCTGCCATTCCTTCTCTCTGCCTTGCATTACTCCTCTCTGCCTGCCATTCCTTCTCTCTGCCTTGCCATTACTCCTCTCTGCCTGCCATTCCTTCTCTCTGCCTTGCCATTACTCCTCTCTGCCTGCCATTCCTTCTCTCTGCCTTGCCATTACTCCTCTCTGCCTGCCATTCCTTCTCTCTGCCTTGCCATTACTCCTCTCTGCTGCCATTCCTTCTCTCTGCCTTGCCATTACTCCTCTCTGCCTGCCATTCCTTCTCTCTGCCTTGCCATTACTCCTCTCGCCTGCCATTCCTCTCTCTGCCTTGCCATTCCTCTCTCTGCCTTGCCATTACTCCTCTCTGCCTGCCATTTCCTTCTCTCTGCCTTGCCATTACTCCTCTCTGCCTGCCATTCCTTCTCTCTGCCTTGCCATTACTCCTCTCTGCCTGCCATTCCTTCTCTCTGCCTTGCCATTACTCCTCTCTGCCTGCCATTCCTTCTCTCTGCCTTGCCATTACTCCTCTCTGCCTGCCATTCCTTCTCTCTGCCTTGCCATTACTCCTCTCTGCCTGCCATTCCTTCTCTCTGCCTTGCCATTACTCCTCTCTGCCTGCCATTCCTTCCTCTCTGCCTTGCCATTACTCCTCTCTGCCTGCCCATTCCTTCTCTCTGCCTTGCCATTACTCCTCTCTGCCTGCCATTCCTTCTCTCTGCCTGCCATTACTCCTCTCTGCCTGCCATTCCTTCTCTCTGCCTTGCCATTACTCCTCTCTGCCTGCCATTCCTTCTCTCTGCCTTGCCATTACTCCTCTCTGCCTGCCATTCCTTCTCTCTGGCCTTGCCATTACTCCTCTCTGCCTGCCATTCCTTCTCTATGCCTTGCCATTACTCCTCTCTGCCTGCCATTCCTTCTCTCTGCCTTGCCATTACTCCTCTCTGCCTGCCATTCCTTCTCTCTGCCTTGCCATTACTCCTCTCTGCCTGCCATTCCTTCTCTCTGCCTTGCCATTACTCCTCTCTGCCTGCCATTCCTTCTCTCTGCCTTGCCATTACTCCTCTCTGCCTGCCATTCCTTCTCTCTGCCTTGCCATTACTCCTCTCTGCCTGCCATTCCTTCTCTCTGCCTTGCCATTACTCCTCTCTGCCTGCCATTCCTTCTCTCTGCCTTGCCATTACTCCTCTCTGCCTGCCATTCCTTCTCTCTGCCTTGCCATTACTCCTCTCTGCCTGCCATTCCTTCTCTCTGCCTTGCCATTACTCCTCTCTGCCTGCCATTCCTTCTCTCTGCCTTGCCATTACTCCTCTCTGCCTGCCATTCCTTCTCTCTGCCTTGCCATTACTCCTCTCTGCCTGCCATTCCTTCTCTCTGCCTTGCCATTACTCCTCTCTGCCTGCCATTCCTTCTCTCTGCCTTGCCATTACTCCTCTCTGCCTGCCATTCCTTCTCTCTGCCTTGCCATTACTCCTCTCTGCCTGCCATTCCTTCTCTCTGCCTTGCCATTACTCCTCTCTGCCTGCCATTCCTTCTCTCTGCCTTGCCATTACTCCTCTCTGCCTGCCATTCCTTCTCTCTGCCTTGCCATTACTCCTCTCTGCCTGCCATTTCCTTCTCTCTGCCTTGCCATTACTCCTCTCTGCCTGCCATTCCTTCTCTCTGCCTTGCTTCATTACTCCTCTCTGCCTGCCATTCCTTCTCTCTGCCTTGCCATTACTCCTCTCTGCCTGCCATTCCTTCTCTCCTGCTTGCCATTACTCCTCTCTGCCTGCCATTCCTTCTCTCTGCCTTGCCATTACTCCTCTCTGCCTGCCATTCCTTCTCTCTGCTTGCCATTACTCCTCTCTGCCTGCCATTCCTTCTCTCTGCCTTGCCATTACTCCTCTCTGCCTGCCATTCCTTCTCTCTGCCTTGCCATTACTCCTCTCTGCCTGCCATTCCTTCTCTCTGCCTTGCCATTACTCCTCTCTGCCTGCCATTCCTTCTCTCTGCCTTGCCATTTACTCCTCTCTGCCTGCCATTCCTTCTCTCTGCCTTGCCATTACTCCTCTCTGCCTGCCATTCCTTCTCTCTGCCTTGCCATTACTCCTCTCTGCCTGCCATTCCTTCTCTCTGCCTTGCCATTACTCCTCTCTGCCTGCCATTCCTTCTCTCTGCCTTGCCATTACTCCTCTCTGCCTGCCATTCCTTCTCTCTGCCTTGCCATTACTCCTCTCTGCCTGCCATTCCTTCTCTCTGCCTTGCCATTACTCCTCTCTGCCTGCCATTCCTTCTCTCTGCTTGCCATTACTCCTCTCTGCCTGCCATTCCTTCTCTCTGCCTTGCCATTACTCCTCTCTGCCTGCCATTCCTTCTCTCTGCCTTGCCATTACTCCTCTCTGCCTGCCATTCCTTCTCTCTGCCTTGCCATTACTCCTCTCTGCCTGCCATTCCTTCTCTCTGCCTTGCCATTACTCCTCTCTGCCTGCCATTCCTTCTCTCTGCCTTGCCATTACTCCTCTCTGCCTGCCATTCCTTCTCTCTGCCTTGCCATTACTCCTCTCTGCCTGCCATTCCTTCTCTCTGCCTTGCCATTACTCCTCTCTGCCTGCCATTCCTTCTCTCTGCCTTGCCATTACTCCTCTCTGCCTGCCATTCCTTCTCTCTGCCTTGCCATTACTCCTCTCTGCCTGCCATTCCTTCTCTCTGCCTTGCCATTACTCCTCTCTGCCTGCCATTCCTTCTCTCTGCCTTGCCATTACTCCTCTCTGCCTGCCATTCCTTCTCTCTGCCTTGCCATTACTCCCTCTGCCTGCCATTCCTTCTCTCTGCCTCATTACTCCTCTGCCTGCCATTCCTTCTCTGCCTTGCCATTACTCCTCTCTGCCTGCCATTCCTTCTCTCTGCCTTGCCATTACTCCTCTCTGCCTGCCATTCCTTCTCTCTGCCTTGCCATTACTCCTCTCTGCCTGCCATTCCTTCTCTCTGCCTTGCCATTACTCCTCTCTGCCTGCCATTCCTTCTCTCTGCCTTGCCATTACTCCTCTCTGCCTGCCATTCCTTCTCTCTGCCTTGCCATTACTCCTCTCTGCCTGCCATTCCTTCTCTATGCCTTGCCATTACTCCTCTCTGCCTGCCATTCCTTCTCTCTGCCTTGCCATTACTCCTCTCTGCCTGCCATTCCTTCTCTCTGCCTTGCCATTACTCCTCTCTGCCTGCCATTCCTTCTCTCTGCCTTGCCATTACTCCTCTCTGCCTGCCATTCCTTCTCTCTGCCTTGCCATTACTCCTCTCTGCTGCCATTCCTTCTCTCTGCCTTGCCATTACTCCTCTCTGCCTGCCATTCCTTCTCTCTGCCTTGCCATTACTCCTCTCTGCCTGCCATTCCTTCTCTCTGCCTTGCCATTACTCCTCTCTGCCTGCCATTCCTTCTCTCTGCCTTGCCATTACTCCTCTCTGCCTGCCATTCCTTCTCTCTGCCTTGCCATTACTCCTCTCTGCCTGCCATTCCTTCTCTCTGCCTTGCCATTACTCCTCTCTGCCTGCCATTCCTTCTCTCTGCCTTGCCATTACTCCTCTCTGCCTGCCATTCCTTCTCTCTGCCTTGCCATTACTCCTCTCTGCCTGCCATTCCTTCTCTCTGCCTTGCCATTACTCCTCTCTGCCTGCCATTCCTTCTCTCTGCCTTGCCATTACTCCTCTCTGCCTGCCATTCCTTCTCTCTGCCTTGCCATTACTCCTCTCTGCCTGCCATTCCTTCTCTCTGCCTTGCCATTACTCCTCTCTGCCTGCCATTCCTTCTCTCTGCCTTGCCATTACTCCTCTCTGCCTGCCATTCCTTCTCTCTGCCTGCCATTATCCTCTCTGCCATTCTTCTCTCTGCCTTGCCATTACTCCTCTCTGCCTGCCATTCCTTCTCTCTGCCTTGCCATTACTCCTCTCTGCCTGCCATTCCTTCTCTCTGCCTTGCCATTACTCCTCTCTGCCTGCCATTCCTTCTCTCTGCCTTGCCATTACTCCTCTCTGCCTGCCATTCCTTCTCTCTGCCTTGCCATTACTCCTCTCTGCCTGCCATTCCTTCTCTCTGCCTTGCCATTACTCCTCTCTGCCTGCCATTCCTTCTCTCTGCCTTGCCATTACTCCTCTCTGCCTGCCATTCCTTCTCTCTGCCTTGCCATTACTCCTCTCTGCCTGCCATTCCTTCTCTCTGCCTTGCCATTACTCCTCTCTGCCTGCCATTCCTTCTCTCTGCCTTGCCATTACTCCTCTCTGCCTGCCATTCCTTCTCTCTGCCTTGCCATTACTCCTCTCTGCCTGCCATTCCTTCTCTCTGCCTTGCCATTACTCCTCTCTGCCTGCCATTCCTTCTCTCTGCCTTGCCATTACTCCTCTCTGCCTGCCATTCCTTCTCTCTGCCTTGCCATTACTCCTCTCTGCCTGCCATTCCTTCTCTCTGCCTTGCCATTACTCCTCTCTGCCTGCCATTCCTTCTCTCTGCCTTGCCATTACTCCTCTCTGCCTGCCATTCCTTCTCTCTGCCTTGCCATTACTCCTCTCTGCCTGCCATTCCTTCTCTCTGCCTTGCCATTACTCCTCTCTGCCTGCCATTCCTTCTCTCTGCCTTGCCATTACTCCTCTCTGCCTGCCATTCCTTCTCTCTGCCTTGCCATTACTCCTCTCTGCCTGCCATTCCTTCTCTCTGCCTTGCCATTACTCCTCTCTGCCTGCCATTCCTTCTCTCTGCCTTGCCATTACTCCTCTCTGCCTGCCATTCCTTCTCTCTGCCTTGCCATTACTCCTCTCTGCCTGCCATTCCTTCTCTCTGCCTTGCCATTACTCCTCTCTGCCTGCCATTTCCTTCTCTCTGCCTTGCCATTACTCCTCTCTGCCTGCCATTCCTTCTCTCTGCCTTGCCATTACTCCTCTCTGCCTGCCATTCCTTCTCTCTGCCTTGCCATTAACTCCTCTCTGCCTGCCATTCCTTCTCTCTGCCTTGCCATTACTCCTCTCTGCCTGCCATTCCTTCTCTCTGCCTTGCCATTACTCCTCTCTGCCTGCCATTCCTTCTCTCTGCCTTGCCATTACTCCTCTCTGCCTGCCATTCCTTCTCTCTGCCTTGCCATTACTCCTCTCTGCCTGCCATTCCTTCTCTCTGCCTTGCCATTACTCCTCTCTGCCTGCCATTCCTTCTCTCTGCCTTGCCATTACTCCTCTCTGCCTGCCATTCCTTCTCTCTGCCTTGCCATTACTCCTCTCTGCCTGCCATTCCTTCTCTCTGCCTTGCCATTACTCCTCTCTGCCTGCCATTCCTTCTCTCTGCCTTGCCATTACTCCTCTCTGCCTGCCATTCCTTCTCTCTGCCTTGCCATTACCTCCTCTCTGCCTGCCATTCTTCTCTATGCCTTGCCATTACTCCTCTCTGCTGCCATTCCTTCTCTCTGCCTTGCCATTACTCCTCTCTGCCTGCCATTCCTTCTCTCTGCATTGCCATTACTCCTCTCTGCCTGCCATTCCTTCTCTCTTGCCTTGCCATTACTCCTCTCTGCCTGCCATTCCTTCTCTATGCTTGCCATTACTCCTCTCTGCCTGCCATTCCTTCTCTCTGCCTTGCCATTACTCCTCTCTGCCTGCCATTCCTTCTCTCTGCCTTGCCATTACTCCTCTCTGCCTGCCATTCCTTCTCTCTGCCTTGCCATTACTCCTCTCTGCCTGCCATTCCTATCTCTATGCCTTGCCATTACTCCTCTCTGCCTGCCATTCCTTCTCTCTTGCACTTGCCATTACTCCTCTCTGCCTGCCATTCCTTCTCTCTGCATTGCCATTACTCCTCTCTGCCTGCCATTCCTTCTCTCTGCCTTGCCATTACTCCTCTCTGCCTGCCATTCCTTCTCTCTGCCTTGCCATTACTCCTCTCTGCCTGCCATTCCTTCTCTCTGCCTTGCCATTACTCCTCTCTGCCTGCCATTCCTTCTCTATGCCTTGCCATTACTCCTCTCTGCCTGCCATTCCTTCTCTCTGCCTTGCCATTACTCCTCTCTGCCTGCCATTCCTTCTCTCTGCCTTGCCATTACTCCTCTCTGCCTGCCATTCCTTCTCTCTGCCTTGCCATTACTCTCTCTGCCTGCCATTCCTTCTCTCTGCCTTGCCATTACTCCTCTCTGCCTGCCATTCCTTCTCTCTGCCTTGCCATTACTCCTCTCTGCCTGCCATTCCTTCTCTCTGCCTTGCCATTACTCCTCTCTGCCTGCCATTCCTTCTCTCTGCCTTGCCATTACTCCTCTCTGCCTGCCATTCCTTCTCTCTGCCTTGCCATTACTCCTCTCTGCCTGCCATTCCTTCTCTCTGCCTTGCCATTACTCCTCTCTGCCTGCCATTCCTTCTCTATGCCTTGGCCATTACTCCTCTCTGCCTGCCATTCCTTCTCTATGCCTTGCCATTACTCCTCTCTGCCTGCCATTCCTTCTCTCTGCCTTGCCATTACTCCTCTCTGCCTGCCATTCCTTCTCTCTGCCTTGCCATTACTCCTCTCTGCCTGCCATTCCTTCTCTCTGCCTTGCCATTACTCCTCTCTGCCTGCCATTCCTTCTCTCTGCCTTGCCATTACTCCTCTCTGCCTGCCATTCCTTCTCTCTGCCTTGCCATTACTCCTCTCTGCCTGCCATTCCTTCTCTCTGCCTTGCATTACTCCTCTCTGCCTGCCATTCCTTCTCTCTGCCTTGCCATTACTCCTCTCTGCCTGCCATTCCTTCTCTCTGCCTTGCCATTACTCCTCTCTGCTGCCATTCCTTCTCTCTGCCTTGCCATTACTCCTCTCTGCCTGCCATTCTTCTCTATGCCTTGCCATACTCCTCTCTGCCTGCCATTCCTTCTCTCTGCCTTGCCATTACTCCTCTCTGCCTGCCATTCCTTCTCTCTGCCTTGCCATTACTCCTCTCTGCCTGCCATTCCTTCTCTCTGCCTTGCCATTTACTCCTCTCTGCCTGCCATTCCTTCTCTCTGCCTTGCCATTACTCCTCTCTGCCTGCCATTCCTTCTCTGCCTTGCCATTACTCCTCCTGCTGCATCCTTCTCTTCTGCCTTGCCATTACTCCTCTCTGCCTGCCATTCCTTCTCTCTGCCTTGCCATTACTCCTCTCTGCCTGCCATTCCTTCTCTCTGCCTTGCCATTACTCCCTCTCTGCCTGCCATTCCTTCTCTCTGCCTGCCATTACTCCTCTCTGCCTGCCATTCCTTCTCTCTGCCTTGCCATTACTCCTCTCTGCCTGCCATTCCTTCTCTCTGCCCTTGCCATTACTCCTCTCTGCCTGCCATTCCTTCTCTCTGCCTTGCCATTACTCCTCTCTGCCTGCCATTCCTTCTCTCTGCCTTGCCATTACTCCTCTCTGCCTGCCATTCCTTCTCTCTGCCTTGCCATTACTCCTCTCTGCCTGCCATTTCCTTCTCTCTGCCTTGCCATTACTCCTCTCTGCCTGCCATTCCTTCTCTATGCCTTGCCATTACTCCTCTCTGCCGCATCCTTCTCTCTGCCTGCCATACTCTCTCTGCTGCATTCCTTCTCTCTGCCTTGCCATTACTCCTCTCTGCCTGCCATTCCTTCTCTCTGCCTTGCCATTACTCCTCTCTGCCTGCCATTCCTTCTCTCTGCCTTGCCATTACTCCTCTCTGCCTGCCATTCCTTCTCTCTGCCTTGCCATTACTCCTCTCTGCCTGCCATTCCTTCTCTCTGCATTGCCATTACTCCTCTCTGCCTGCCATTCCTTCTCTCTGCCTTGCCATTACTCCTCTCTGCCTGCCATTCCTTCTCTATGCCTTGCCATTACTCCTCTCTGCCTGCCATTCCTTCTCTCTGCCTTGCCATTACTCCTCTCTGCCTGCCATTCCTTCTCTCTGCCTTGCCATTACTCCTCTCTGCCTGCCATTCCTTCTCTCTGCCTTGCCATTACTCCTCTCTGCCTGCCATTCCTTCTCTATGCCTTGCCATTACTCCTCTCTGCCTGCCATTCCTTCTCTCTGCCTTGCCATTACTCCTCTCTGCCTGCCATTCCTTCTCTCTGCCTTGCCATTACTCCTCTCTGCCTGCCATTCCTTCTCTCTGCCTTGCCATTACTCCTCTCTGCCTGCCATTCCTTCTCTCTGCCTTGCCATTACTCCTCTCTGCCTGCCATTCCTTCTCTCTGCCTTGCCATTACTCCTCTCTGCCTGCCATTCCTTCTCTCTGCCTTGCCATTACTCCTCTCTGCCTGCCATTCCTTCTCTCTGCCTTGCCATTACTCCTCTCTGCCTGCCATTCCTTCTCTCTGCCTTGCCATTACTCCTCTCTGCCTGCCATTCCTTCTCTCTGCCTTGCCATTACTCCTCTCTGCCTGCCATTCCTTCTCTCTGCCTTGCCATTACTCCTCTCTGCCTGCCATTCCTTCTCTCTGCCTTGCCATTACTCCTCTCTGCCTGCCATTCCTTCTCTCTGCCTTGCCATTACTCCTCTCTGCCTGCCATTCCTTCTCTCTGCCTTGCCATTACTCCTCTCTGCCTGCCATTCCTTCTCTCTGCCTTGCCATTACTCCTCTCTGCCTGCCATTCCTTCTCTCTGCCTTGCCATTACTCCTCTCTGCCTGCCATTCCTTCTCTCTGCCTTGCCATTACTCCTCTCTGCCTGCCATTCCTTCTCTCTGCTTGCCATTACTCCTCTCTGCCTGCCATTCCTTCTCTCTGCCTTGCCATTACTCCTCTCTGCCTGCCATTCCTTCTCTCTGCCTTGCCATTACTCCTCTCTGCCTGCCATTCCTTCTCTCTGCCTTGCCATTACTCCTCTCTGCCTGCCATTCCTTCTCTCTGCCTTGCCATTACTCCTCTCTGCCTGCCATTCCTTCTCTCTGCCTTGCCATTACTCCTCTCTGCCTGCCATTCCTTCTCTATGCCTTGCCATTACTCCTCTCTGCCTGCCATTCCTTCTCTCTGCCTTGCCATTACTCCTCTCTTGCCTGCCATTCCTTCTCTCTGCCTTGCCATTACTCCTCTCTGCCTGCCATTCCTTCTCTCTGCCTTGCCATTACTCCTCTCTGCCTGCCATTCCTTCTCTCTGCCTTGCCATTACTCCTCTCTGCCTGCCATTCCTTCTCTCTGCATTGCCATTACTCCTCTCTGCCTGCCATTCCTTCTCTCTGCCTTGCCATTACTCCTCTCTGCCTGCCATTCCTTCTCTCTGCCTTGCCATTACTCCTCTCTGCCTGCCATTCCTTCTCTCTGCCTTGCCATTACTCCTCTCTGCCTGCCATTCCTTCTCTCTGCCTTGCCATTACTCCTCTCTGCCTGCCATTCCTTCTCTCTGCATTGCCATTACTCCTCTCTGCCTGCCATTCCTTCTCTCTGCCTTGCCATTACTCCTCTCTGCCTGCCATTCCTTCTCTCTGCCTTGCCATTACTCCTCTCTGCCTGCCATTCCTTCTCTCTGCCTTGCCATTACTCCTCTCTGCCTGCCATTCCTTCTCTCTGCATTGCCATTACTCCTCTCTGCCTGCCATTCCTTCTCTCTGCCTTGCCATTACTCCTCTCTGCCTGCCATTCCTTCTCTCTGCCTTGCCATTACTCCTCTCTGCCTGCCATTCCTTCTCTCTGCCTTGCCATTACTCCTCTCTGCCTGCCATTCCTTCTCTCTGCCTTGCCATTACTCCTCTCTGCCTGCCATTCCTTCTCTCTGCCTTGCCATTACTCCTCTCTGCCTGCCATTCCTTCTCTATGCCTTGCCATTACTCCTCTCTGCCTGCCATTCCTTCTCTCTGCCTTGCCATTACTCCTCTCTGCCTGCCATTCCTTCTCTCTGCATTGCCATTACTCCTCTCTGCCTGCCATTCCTTCTCTCTGCCTTGCCATTACTCCTCTCTGCCTGCCATTCCTTCTCTATGCCTTGCCATTACTCCTCTCTGCCTGCCATTCCTTCTCTCTGCCTTGCCATTACTCCTCTCTG